GTAGAGACTCTGGACACTTTCCTCCAAATACAGTGTACTGCTCCCTTCGAGAGAGGTAAGAACATAGCCAGTTGGTTATCTAGCTGTTAGTGTTGACGCTGATTAACTTGTTAATTAAAAGTTATCTTGGTATAGAATCAAAAGCTGAAGTATAGTCCAGAAAAGCGCATCGAACATACTTCTTTCTCTTTTCTAAGTTGAACACTATATTGTGATACAGAACAGCAACAGCATCTAAGGTGCTCCTTTTGCATCTGTAAGCAAACTGATACGGATTATTATGCTCTTTTATCGCAGGCTGAAGTGGAAGTATTAACAATTTTTCCATGGTTTTGAGGAAGGATGAAGTTATTGCAGTAGGTCTAAATTTCACATTCCTATCACCAGATACTTTCTTTGGTACAGAGACTATCTTCATCATTCTCCACATTTCCGGTATGAGATTAGATGAGAAGGATCTGTTAAAGATAGTCGTGAATGGATAACATAGGACGTCGGCACATTTTTTAAAAAGGAGGTTTGGGATACCATTAGGTCCCGAACATCGGGATGAATTAAGCGACTGAAGACATCTTCGGACATCAGTTTCAGTGAAAGTAGGAACAAACCTATTCTTTAAATCCGTGGATAAAGGGAGCATCACATCAGATGACTTACGTCCAAAAGAATTATTTAAGTCACAAACATTTAGCTACTTATCGCTCCTAAACTGTCTGTCACCTGTAAGTTCTTTAAAGAGTTTCCACATACTTGGAGAGCTTTTGCAAGACAAGAGTTTTTGAGTGAACATAGGGTTGAGATGTCTAATCTCTAGGTTTATCAGACCATTTAGCTTACGAACTTCATAAGATTTTTTCTCCTTGTACATTTTTTCTTTCACCCTCCGTAGTCGTTTTAGTTGTGAAGATGTAAGCCGATCAAAACTTACAAAAATGGTTTCAGTGCGACAACAAATATCAAAACAGAATTTAAGGTAACAAGTGATAACATGAGAAGTGATTTCCAGTGAGTCAGCTGTAAATAATTTCCAGTTAGTCGTATGAAACATGTTTTTCAGACTTCGGATATTTTCTTCTGAGTAATTCCTATATTTGGCTTTCTTGGTTTGATGTAAGAATGTACTCTTCCCATGCTTTCCATATACTTTAGGTAGAACAGGAATTATACAGTGATCTGAGCTAGGCAATGGAGCACGTTTACGAGTCGCATGTGTACCCACATCATTATTGAAAACGAAGTCTAAATGAACATCCGAACGGGTGGGAAAATCTACTACATTTTTATGACCCAGTGACTTAAGGAAGCTACAGCCACATGAATTGAAATCATCACATACAACTGAAGGTGAATCACTGAGGGCAGCAACAGCGAACTCAGTGAATTCACCAGCGGAAACAGGTAGCACAGATGATGTGCAGTCTGGAGTCACGTAGATATTGGTAATATAAACGTATTTGTATTTATTCAGATGTTTTGGACGACATCTTAGAGTTAGACAGTCGATAAAGTCATTTGAAAACTTAAAACACACAAACGAAGATCGACACCAGTTTATGTTTACAAACGTACCTACATCGCCGCCACACCTCTTTTTATTGTTTGATCGACCCTGACGATAAATTTTGAAATCACGTAGTGATACTAGGCAGTCGTCCTGTAAATCATTTAACCGAGATTCTCGAATTGTGATGACACCACAATTACGATACGTATTTTGACTTAGAAGGAATTGCAGACAGTCCACTTTGCTGATTAGTGATCGGCACTTAGAATTTAGCAGCTCTAGAATCGAGATATGATTAATGTTCATTCTCTTTAACGTATATTGCCAACCACCACGACGTCTTTTATAGTACTTTTCTGCAACTTGTGCAGCGAAAGGTCGTGGGCTTTTCATAAAAGCGCCTAAATAGGTTATACGATTAATGGACATAATGGTAAGTTAAAACAAATGAAAAAAACAGATAACTTGTTGAAATAATTAGATGGCAGAAACAGGTAGCCCAGATAGTTACAGTTTTTTCTCTTCAAATTCTCATTGTTCTGTGTGGCGCATATATATCTGGTGCACTCTTGTACCGATATTTATTTGTTCAAATAAATAATAAATAAACAAACTACGGCTGTTTAACTGTTAATTCTGATATGCATCTAGACTTATCACAGCTTCCTACAGTCTTGGGGGACATGGTCATTGGTCTGGTTTAGATGATATGCAGCAGTTTAAGCTGGACTGCTTGCTTAAGAAACTCTACTGTCGCAAGACGAACTCACTCATCCCGATTACATTACACTGTGACAACTTAGGCTGGGTGGTCAGTAGTTGGCCCAAAACGTTTTGGTAGTACCAAGACGTTATAGCTGAAGTATTTAGTCGCTTCTTTATTTTGCGTGGGCATTATAATACCTATTGTCTTATATCGAATGCTGAAAGCTTTATGCGCTTGAAAATTATGGCCTCGCCTGCCAAATATCTTGCTCCACAATCAGAATAAAACGTACTACATCCAACATTATGATTGATTACAACGTAGAGAATGAGAGATATTCACCAGCATCAAAGATATGAAGAAGGTAGCTAACAATAAATAGGACCTACTTAACAATTACAGAATACCTATTAATCAAAAATATATATATTTCGAGCTGATGTTCTGTTTCAAGTAGAATTCAGCTGTCTCCAGGTAAAGACACTTGGTTTTAGAAATGTTTATTCGTTTGTGATCATAAACCACTCAGACAATCTTGTACGCTGATGCGTATAATCACCTAAGAATGTTATCGTTGAAGCGGTCCCAAAACTATCCCTCATCAAAGCTATTAGAAGCCCAGAAATGCTAGAAAACTTTTTAAGCATCCAACTGAAATAGGATTTTAATAGTAACATCTAGAAAATGCAGAATTATGTGCCCTGGTTTTGGTTCGACATTTGTCTTTACTGCTGCCGTATTTGGTATGACTCCAGCGATTTCCAGAGACACAAGGTCAGATGTATTTACGTTTTTTCTGTACATAAACTATCCTTGAAGTAAAGATTTTATTTGCATTTCGTGCCTTATCTCTAGTGCTCCATTTGATGTGTAGAAGTTGCTGGGCATATCAAAACCGGCTGTGAAGACAGTTTAAACGTGTCTGTACCAAGACTTATCAACTGGTGACGGGAAAACCACATTCGACGTTACTTTTGACCAAACAGAAGCACACTTAGAGAGCCATGGATACAATGAGGATTAAAGAATTTCTCATGAACATGATGTGTGTCTTAGCCAAACGCTGCACCAAATGAACTGCAAGTAACGGCTATTGATTCAGTATTCAGTGCCTTTTATGAAATCCACTTTGGTGGTCTAGCTGGTCTGAATTTTAATCCTTGGTTCCAGAAATCTGAAGATCTGTTCCGAATTAATTTCTGCAGATTGGATTACTCCCATGAGTCAGAATAATTTTAAGAAAACTGAGCACGACAAAATATTGATGGAATGGTAATTTCATTCTCCTGGAGAACCTTCGCGATTTTACTTTCTGTGAAATCAGTAAAATCCTATCTCAAATTTTTTAAGAATAATGAAATATGCAGGAACTTTGAATAAAAAATGTGAGAGATGAGCCATCAATTAAGCAATTTCTAGACGAAAAAGAGAAAAATGTGAGAATAAGAGGTACTGCAACGTCATAAGAATTGCCGAAAAATAATTAAACTCTGATGACGATTATAGGGTCAATTCCACTATTCCTTTAGTAAATTGTGTAGTGATTATCTTATTTGACTTGAAAGTCTCATTTTCACCAATGCACTAGGTCAAGTTGTGTTCATTATTGCGTAAAACTAATGTGCATCTCAAAGGGTTAAAGAATAATCTTTGAGTAGTAACATGTACAGACATTCTTCGTTCTTATTATTCAGCCTGATTGTGATAAGATATATGATTTTTCTCGTTTAGCATGCCAACCTCTAGTACAAATGTAGAACAATAGGGACTGCTAAACGTGGTAAAGTAGGGGTTTTGGAAGGATCAAGACCATTCACCTTAAACTTCTGGCCAGTCAGCTCAAATAGTTCTTTCGACCCCACTAGGTAGTGACATCCCAAACTGGTTGACGATTATCGCCAGATCACTATGTAGTCCGGCCTCAGTAGCTTCTGCTACATATGGGAGTGATTTAAGGAACCGAATGTTTCCTCCTTGTGTTCAATGTTAAAAGTGCTTCTTAACAACCATCATCACTTTCAGTTGTTTTTTTAAGTAGTCACCGTAAGATTCCGTTGTTTCTAGTACATGCCCAATCTGATCCAGAATTCTCCTAAAAATAAAAATGCATCTAAAACTAAGGCATCTTGTCTATTTCTTACACCTGAGACAGCTAATCTAAGAAGAAAACAAGAGCAAATCATTGATGACTGCGAGTTTGTTTCGTTACACTTTATGCAATAACAGAAGACGTGGTATAAGTCAGTTCTGTTGAAATGTCCGGAGCAAGTTTGAATCTCCCTAGTGGTAAACATAACTTAGTCCACTTCACCATATGTAATTACTACTGAGGAAAAACATAATGGTCACTTTGAAATAAAGCAACGATATCTGATTTTGCAGTGGGAGCGTGTGATAACAAAACAAAGGAACACTCATCATTCGTTTGCGTAAAACTGAGTAAAATTAAATCACAATTGATTGCTTCTGTCATACAGAAATTCACATGCCAGTAGTAAATTCGGTCCCGAATAGACCATGAAAAGGCTAGAACAAGAGCCAGTTAGCCTAAGAAGCCAAACAAAAGCAGTAAGAAAAAGTAAATGTAAACACTAAGGTATGTCTCTTTATTTCGATGCGGTTACTCCTAAGGAAAGAATCAGGTAGGTGCTTTGATCTTATACTTTTATCTAGAAGACCTACTCAAGAAGCTGATTCGACACTGTCGATGTTTGTTTAAGTCATTCATTCAACACTTTAATTGTTCACCAAATATTTGAGTTAATCAGTATTTGTGTTCTGATATCGTGATATATTTCGCTATGGAGGGATATGATTCTAGGAAGCCTCCGAGTGTTCGAGTAACCGTTCTAGAAGATCCAAACAGCAGCCTTCAAGAACTTTTCAATCCCGCCTCCCAGAGGCAACAGGTTCCTTTACATCAACGTAATCTACCGAAATCTTTTTTCGTTCCACCTGGAGATGTGAATGACAGTTCTCGACTTTCCAAGCTTAACTCCGTACACAGCAACGAAAGAAATTCTGCAGATTTTGTGGTGTTCCATAGTAAAGCGAATTCATCTCCAGCCTGTTTGGATGCTGCACTTAGAACGTCTGTTTCTGCAAATGTTCCTAATCACAGCCATCAAAAAAGTCTTGATGTTGCTTCCAAATACAAGACGGAATTTAGCCCAGATTTTGCTTTCTCCGGTTCGTGTAGCCCGGGATTGTTTCAGGGACAAAGGTACATCGTCCTATTTACTGATATGACATTTGTCGTAGAAACTCACAACAAACTGCACTACTTTATGGACCCACCATGACGTTTGCTATAAGCGAGCTTCCCGTTGGATTTGACATGGCGATAAATGAGAGCAATCAGGTATATTTTCTAAATCATCAAACACAAGAAACCACATGGTATGATCTTCCATGCTTTACTAATTTTTGTGAAGGTTTGATCCTAGAATACCAGAAAAGTTCCAGAAGTGGGGTATGACTCCAGAAGAACTAGAGCAAGTGCACTTACGCTACGCTAAACAATTTTTATGCACAATCCCGTCTTCGAATTTGAATGTATGTGTTCAACAGGTTGGTGAATTTACTAAGATTTTATATGATATGTCTGCACGATAACAATAGTCGTGAAGTCACTTTTCATAAAACTAACATAAAACGAGTAAGGAAGTTTAATATTTGCAATGTTTTGGCGGTTATGGGAGTCATGACATTTATTGGTCTTGGGTTTAATGAAGCAAAAATACTTATATATGATCAAAGTTAAACGTAATATTTATTGTAGCTTAGTCCGATAGATTTATTTACTAAATATGCATCAGCGTCTTACTTAATTCAGCGGTTGTAAAAATTTCTGTCTCGTGTCAAAAGCCTATAAATTTAAGATGAGCAACGTTGGGTTCTAATAGACGAAAGACAGAGAGGATGTTCTCCTCGGTTACTCGAAATGTCATTTGATGTAGTTTTAACTAGTTCCTACTTTTTACATCAATATATATATATATATATATATATATTCAGTCGAATACAACTGTTACAAAATTTTGATCGAGTAACTTAATATTTTATAACGTGAGCTACACTTTTAGGCAGACTTACTTTGAGAAGACACCAAATACCGTCTCCATCAGTGTTGATAAAACCGAACTGAAACACCATGTAATGATGCTGCAAGGCGATAACGTACGTTTGGCCATGCGATCATTCCTGCTCATGAGGTTTCTACGATATAATAATAGAACGTTTTCATCCAAAGATGCGGTATTTTGCTGGAAATTGATCCATTATATGGATACTTACCAGGTCCAATCGTTTTAGTCGGGCGATTCAAGCACGTTTGTGAAGATTTTGATTTTTTCACATGATTTTTACATTACATAACTAATATTAGTTTAGTTTGGTTTGACCTAAGCACCCTTTATATACGATTGAAACTGAGTTGTGAACCTAATAATTATAGTAAAATCAATCCATACCAGACGAATAAAAGCCGTTAACCATTCTCAATTCAACAAACCGTATATATGAATGTATTATAGAGGTGCAAGGTTTTTAACTACTAAAAATCCTGTCAAACCGAATTTTTCATGCAGTTATTCATGCATAAGGTATGTCATCAAGTGAGGTATGAATGTTTTTGAACAACCTTTCGCTAAGCATTATATATTTTAATGCAATAAAAAACCACTTCACTTATTTTACTACTTAGATCAAACGATATACATATTACTTTTGAGGTTATTTTCTGGTTTTTTATACATAATAAGCTTTTTTTATGGTATTTTTGGTAAATAAGAACTATCAGTTTCACAAACTAAGAAATATTAAACCTTATTATGAAGAACTGTTTAACTGTTCTGAGACTCTGGATCCCACTTTTACACACATTCGTTTGCTCACATTACCCTTTGAAAGTTTCAGCTACAAAGATCCTTAAGTATTGTTTACTAATGAGATAAGAATAATTTGATATCCCTATTACTGACCACTTGATACATAATGCGCCTATGACCGAATGATCTGCAGTTCATCCACAAAATAAATATATTTGTTTTACTATGTATTAATCATGATGTAAAAAAATGTATTTTATTTGCAGGCAAATAATTTGTCCATAGTAAAACACAATATTTACGTCATATGATGTTTCAATATTCTGAAAATACTAAAACGTAGTTTTCCACTCTCTAAGATCAATATTCTGTAGTGTTTGTGTACTGATTGGCTTTACAGAATCATTCGATTACTCAAGTATATGCAAACTACGAGCAAATAAAATAATCCTTAGATTTACTTCGTGAGTTGTTAAATTAAAAACGAAAATCTAGTCGGTAAAGAGCCCTAAGCAAAACGACATCAACTTTACTTAAGTTTTCTATCAAAATACTTTGAAATAAATGGGACAAGCTAAAATCACCGTACACCTAGTAGTAGTGTATCAAAACTGGGAAACAGAGATCGGAGATCTAAATTAATTATAAACTCTCCTTTGTTGCCGTCTGATTATGGTTGTCATTATCAAGTAGTAGTTGGCAAAACTTGGCAAAACTGAGTGACGTATGCTAACCTTAACCAAAATGTATTTTGTACAACACATAAATACAAAATGAACATTTTTTCACTCTTATAACTGGTTATTCTGGGTATACAAATAAAACCACAATCACAGTTTAAAGCAATTAAACTATGCTTTTAGTAAATACAGAATAGCAGTCTTAGCTGTTCACGTTTTAAAACCCCGAGAAAAATTAAAACTCGGTCACTGAAAGAATTGCTGAAGAACATTTCAATGTACTCCCTAAGTTTGTCTTTTACGTAAATTTTTTCATACATTATAGCATTTACTTAGAAATTATTGTATATCTGTTTAAACTGTAAAATGTAATCACACTTCTGGCACGAACTTCTAATCAAGTAGATCCTATTGTCTAAAAAAAAGATTCATACCAACCAAATAGATTTGGTCAAGACTTCCACGTTCTCACACCTGACCTAATTTATTAGCTCCCAACAGCATACATTTTTGTCCTGTACTTACGTCTAGCTAAGATGAGCGATTTCACAGTATATTTACCGTGTTGTTTGTAATTTTAATCCAACTGAGGTCTGTAGCTACAGTAAGTGACCTACCTTCCTATCAGAAAAACACAAGTAGGCTATATTTCTTCACAATACCATCAGCAAAATAAGTTTTATTTTACAAACTACTAATTTTAAAATCTACTATTCAAGTTCCTACTCAGTCTTCATTTCAATTTTTGTAAGTTTTTATGCCCATGATTGTCATGTGGGGATCCTTTCAAATAACAACTCTTAAGGTTAGCTTCTGTATTGTTGTGTGGCAATGTTTTGATTTCGACATTTTTTATCGATTTCTTGGAGGGTCTTGAACTTCAGTGGAATAATCTGGAACAGAATTTGCACTTACTTGTTTGTTGGTTAAACAGTTCTTCCCTTAGTTTGTCGTTCTTGCGGCCAATTCTATGGGAATCAGGAGTTTAGGAAGAGTATTTTTAAACTATCTTTAGCTCTAAATATATCAATACCTCCACAACTTTGTTATACAGATCTAGTCTGATAATAAGTGGAAGAAAACTCTAAAGCAAAACTTTGCTTAAGCTGGAATACTATAAAATATTCAATGTTAGACCATTCTTCAGCTGACTTGACACATTATTAGTGGGTTAGATATTTTGTCATTATATAAACCATTTGACTGAAATTTTGTTATCCAAACCCACTCCTTTAGTTGTACAAAATAGTCTTAGATCAGAAGAATTACAACAACGGATTCAAGCAGATGAGTAAGCATATCTGTTAAATCTGTGTTTATAAACTGTAATTCATTTAAACTATTATTACCACGCAATGCTTACACAGGAATATAAAAATGGTAGTAACTGACAAGTTTTTCCGTTGAATACATTTTTTACTTTATATAGTTATGGGTCTATGCTTTTCTGTTTTACCTAACATGTACACTATAATTTTAAAAACAATACAGCCGTATTTACATTAATTCTAGCTGAAACCTAAAAAATCGTATTTTGACTGAAGTAATGATTATGATAAAGGGACATAATAGTAGTTAGAAAAGGATCATGATATACCACAAGTTTGTTGTAGGTGAAAGTACAAACTATTAGATTCTAATCAAGTAGGTAAAAGATTTTAATCTCAAATAAAGGGGTGAATATATACCACATTTCACCTACAAAAAGCCTATGAGTCAATACTATTTAGGAATCTTAATCTGGAACTGAACACTCTCTAATCACCTCTGTTCTTTCTGACGATTTTTGAGATGACTTCGAATCTCAATATTAGGGTCATTTTTATAATAGTGCAAACTGTGAGCTGTATTTCTGGTTGACAAATACTGAAGTATGTGTCATTTTTAAGTCTAAACAAATCAGGTTTGATAATTCACTAGATATAATAATTTGTCACACATCCATTTTTTTTAATAAGTATGTAAGTTAAGTAAATTATGCTTATTTTTTTGATTCCTAAGTAAATTCAACAAATAAATACTGACTTAAAAATATCAAACAATGTTTTTGAACCAACCACTTTATTTAATTTACGTAATAACTTACAATTTAGAAACTAATATGTTGCCTTAAATTAGAGTTCCTTTAAAATGTGAAGCTCACAAATGTTATGTTATTAAATTGTTTGATCAGACAGCTTTGTCTAAACTGACTAAACATTATGCTTTGGAAAGTTTTAGAAGTCAATACTTTTACTCATGATCATGTAAGGATATTCAAACTGAAGTTTCATGCTGTCTAGTTTTCACTAGTGGTAAAATTCTATCAATAATGTTCGTAGTACTTTTACTCTGCTAAGTAATTCAAACGTCTTATTAAATTGTAACTATTTTTAATAAGTGAAGATATCAAGTGATAATCCTATAAGTGCGCCATGAGAGTTGCTCAGTTGTTGAACAAGTTACCGTAATGTCATATGATGCATATCTGGATAGTAAGGATAACGTTTTTCAAGGTTGCTAATAGACTATACTAATAAGCTCGAGCGAACAACACATTAATATAGTCTCATTGCTTACAAATATGAAACATATTAAATCTTCGGCTATGTCCGAGACTAAATGTTCAACTCTTTCTCTCTTTACTGTAATAAATCTGTTATTTATCATGACTTAAGATACACGCCTCATTAAAAAATGTGGATACTAGTTTCGTAGAGAATATAGAAAGTGGAAGATGGATAACTAGTTGAAAACAGTTATACCTAATGCTTAACAATAGATATTGACAATAATGAAATTAGTGGTAATTATTTATTTTGCAGGTGTAGAGAGATAAAATTTAAATCTACTATTAAATGGTACGTATTTATAGTTCCTAACTCTGAGGCTTATGGCATGTTACAAACTTTTAGTGGTGTCTCTTATAACAGTTTTGACTTACAGAGGAATACTAAGAGTAATTATCGCCCAAATACTTAAGAATATTCATTCAGTTACTCCAAATAGGTTGGAATTATGCCTGGTGTGATTATAAGACGCAATTTTAAATGTACTTCACTAAATAATGTTAGAAAAATAA